CTGGGGTTGTGGCTCAGGGGTAGAGTGCCTGCCTCATACACATGAGGCACTGGGTTCAAGTCTTAGCACCACATAAAAATAAATAAATAAAATAAATATATTGTGTCTATCTGCAACTAAAAAAATATTTTTTTAAAAAAAATTGTGGTAGAAATAATTCCAAAATATACTTCATGCTATTATAAACAGACTATTAAGATTTCTCATTGGCTTTACCAAGAACATTTTTAGTATGCTTAAAATATTTATATATTTTCATGTTGTTGATCATAATATAAGATTATATAGGTTACTGTGAATGAAAAAAACTTTTCTATCTTGTTAAATATATATAATTCGCATGCTGGGTATGGTGGCACATGCCTGTAATCTCAGCTTCTTGCAAGGCTAAGGCAGGAGGATTCAAGTTCAAGGCCAGCCTGGGCAACTTAGCAAGAGCCTGTCTCAAATTGTCTATATAATATTTATATATTATATAGACATATATATTTATATGTATATTTATATATTTATATATATATATGTATGTATATTTGTGTATAAATATACATATATATTATTAGGGGCAGGAATATAGCTCAGTGGTAGAACACTTGCCTGGCATACAGGAGCCCCTGGGTACAATCCCCAGTACTGTCAAAACACACTCACACACACACACATACACGCATGCAAGCGCACACACGTATATAAAATTATTGTTGGGCTGGGGATGTGGCTCAAGCAGTAGCGCGCTCGCCTGGCATGCGTGTGGCCCAGGTTCAATCCTCAGCACCACATACAAACAAAGATGTTGTGTACGCTGAAAACTAAAGAATAAATATTAAAAAATTCTCTCTCTCTCTCTCTCTAAAAAAAATTATTGTAAACGTAAATTACATACGATACTTATATTGTTTTATAATATGTTAAGTATAAAAAATTCCTATAGGGTTGGGGTTGTGGCTCAGTGGTAGAGCATTTGCCTAGCATGTGTGGGGCACTGGGTTCGATTCTCAGCACTACATATAAACAAATAAATAAAGGTTCATCAACTAATAAAATATTTTTTTAAAAAAACCTATAGTAAATTTTCTACTGCTTGAACATAGCCTTGATACTGTAAGAAAGAGAGCCAGAAAACTTCCCAGCATCAAGGGAAGAAAATCAGAAACATCTGAATTATGAAAAAAAAATTTAAAATCATGGATAACTAAACAATAAAGATGAAGGCAACTAGCCATCTGTTTAAAAGGAGTCAGGGTGGGGGACACTCAGGGAATTGAAAGATGACTTATTCAAGTTCCCCTTAATGAACATTAATGATTATATAAATTATTAAAATATGAATTCCAAGTTTCAGTACGTTTTTCACCAATTTTATCTGTACAATCTACTATACTTTTTAAAAAAATTTTTTTAGTTGTAGATGAACACAATGCCTTTATTTTATTTATGTATTTTTATGTGGTGCTGAGGATCAACCTAGTGCCTTAAAAGTACCAGGCAAGCATTCCACCACTTAGCTATAACCCCAGCCCTACTATCTTCTTTTCTGAATCTGCCAAAAAAGGAGTTAAGGCCAGGTGAAGAATCACCACAAAAAATTAAGCCAAATGCAAAAAAGGAGAGATAATTGCTTTTCCACATCAATATCCAGCCATTTTTTTTTCCAGAAAAAAAAGTTTATAGTAGAAAGAATTCTAAGTAGAGACTGTGAGCCCCCAAATTTGGAGTAAAGGGAGGTGAGGAACGGATGTGTGCTGGCTTGTTTCAGTACATGCTTCCTGAAACCTGATTAGAGCGTGAATCCAGAAACCTACCAATTCTATTTGAAAACTCTCCATCTGCTCAAACCTACTTCATGTTCTTGATGTTAAACTTTTCTATCACTCCAAATAACTATCGAATATCTAAAGGTCTCTTTATGGTACATGTAATATACTTCTAAGTGCTTATACACAAGTACAAATGAGATTTATTACATATAACTAGCCCCAAATCTTCAAAGATAATTGCCAATAAATATGAATATTAATATTAAAAACATTCTACCAGGGACTGGGGTTGTAGCTCAGTGGCAGAGCACATGCTTAGCATGTATGAGGCACTGGGTTCAATCCTCAGCACCACATAAAAAAATAAACAAAATTATTGTGTCCATTTACAACTAAAATAAAAGAAAAAAAATCCCACCGGCCATGTTCTAAAATTAGATAATGGTGATGACCGTAAAACTCTGAATACACTAAAAACCACTGAATTGTATGTTTCAAATAAGTGAGTTTTATAATATGTAAATTACATCTCAATAAAGCTGTCAGGGGCTAGGGTTGTGGCTCAGAGGTGGAGCGCTCACCTACCTACCATGTGTGAGACACTGGGTTTGATCCTCTGCACCACATAAAAATAAAATGAGGATATTGTGTCCACTTATAACTAAAAAGTAAATATTTTATAAATAAATAAATAAAGCTGTCGAAAATTCAAAAGAAAATAATGTATGTGGTCAGCGATTATGCTTCAAGTTGCTATATAATAATCTCGTTGAGCAAATTGGCTTTATGACTTTTACTATTTTCAGCATTTTACTACTTTGGATTATGAAGGAAAAAACTATTAGTTTTATAAAACACTTCCCTGAGGGGCTGGGGTTGTGGCTCAGTGATAGAGCACTCACCTAACATGTGTGAGGCACTGGGTTCTATCCTCAGCACCACATAAAAAAAAATAAATAAACAAAACAAAGTATTGTATCCATCTTCAACAAAAAAAAATTTTTAAATAATAAAATAAAACAAAACACTTTCCTGAGAACATAAGGTGCCCACACCAAGTTTTAAAAATAATGTCATTAATTTAAATTATGTAAAGCACAGATACAAACCATATTAAATAATTAATACTTTATTAAATTTTAAATCTACTAAAATATTTGTTTTCATGATTTTGTACCCTAAACGTACGTGTAAGCTGGCCATCTTACATTTATTTTACTTATAATCAAAAGGTTAAAAGTAGAAATATGATTCCATGAAGTCTAGCAAAGTTTAAACTGAGAAATCTGCATGGTGCAGTTTTGTCCAACACCTTCCAAAGCAAATAAAGTAGGAAAGGAATAGGAAATTGTCTGAGGCAGTGTTAATATCACTGGACCATTCCATATCATGTATACTTTATGACCTGTCATTTTTTGCCTACTATTTAAATTTTCTACCCTCTTTTTTATTTTCCTCAACTCATCTTTTCATCTTCCTAGCACTAAAATCTCCAGTTATATTCAACTAATAGAATTAGTGTTTTATAAGACAATTTAACATAACATACAGAAAATGAGCTCAAAGAGTTTACTGTTATCAAGTGCTCAACTTGCAGATAACTAAGCTAGAAGCAACTTAGTGAGACCCTGTCTCACTAAAAATAAAAAGGGCCAGGAATGTTGCACAGTAGGGACCCTGGGTTCAATCCCTGGTACCAAAAAAATAAAGAATAAAGAAAAGAAATTACCTTCAGACTACAAGGTGCATATAATCATGAATTTCATGATTAGGCCTAGCTCCCATCAAGATATCTCATATACATATGCAAATATTCCAAAATCTGAAAAACTCACAAACCTGAAACACTTCTGGTCCCAAACATTTCAGATAAAGCATATTCTGTCTTATGTTAACAGAGCCTGAGCTCACTTTCAGTTTTTCCATACAATTGAAGAACAGGACAGTCCTAAACATACAAAGGAGCCATCAATTTACAACTAACCTAACTGATGATAATCACAGGGAGATACCATGATTTCTTACTAATGAAACTTGGCATACCAAGTCAATGAGTTGAAGGAAACAAATGAGGAGAAGAATAAGCTCAAAGTGGAGTCTCCTTGTCTTTCTACTCTCAAAATGTAGTTCAAGATCTACATCAGAAAACTTGTACCTTTTATTTACAAATCATATCACTAAACTCAAACCTGAATAATCAAAATGTCTGAATGCCTATAAATTTGCATTTTAACAAGACTACAAAAAATGAAAAGGGATGGGGATGTAGCTCAATGATAGAGTGCCTTTGGGTTCAATCCTCAGTACTACCAAAAATGAAAAATAAAAATACTATAGAGGTTATTCTTTTTTTTTAAACACAGCTATGCTTATTTTTGTTAGTGTTTACATATCTTTTCCTGTCCTTTTACTTATTCACATCCTTGTTTCCTTATAATTAAAATGTGTCTTTGTTGCCTCCTATAAACAAAACAAAGCTAATATTAACTTTTTCAATTCAGTCTAATAATATTTTTAAAATTTTAAATGAATTTGTTGATTTATAATTAACATAATTACCAGTTTTAAGTCTAACATTTTGCTATTGATTTCTGTATCAATCAGCTTTTTCAATGCTATGACTTAAGACCCAACCAAAACAACTGTAGAGGAGAAACTATAGGTTATTCTTAAACTTATTCAAACAATGGCTACTCGCTTAAATTCTACCTGCTCCAGCAAAATTATTCAAGGGGTAGATACTGCTGCAAGTATTAACTAATACTAAGAAAATTAAATTCTTAATATATGATTATTTTATCCTCTAAGGAACTTTGCAGTGCTTTTCAAAAGACCGCAACTTAAAGCCTGAAGGCAGGGGTGAAGAAGGAAGATAGAATAGAGAGAAGTCATGCAGAGAAATTCGTTTTCTTGAATTTTTTTATTACTCAAAATAGAAAGAGAAATTATATAATAAGTGAGGAAAGAAGAACATATATAAATTAAAACAGTATTAAATACTAGTATATACACTTTCATTCAACTATAACAACAGTCTGATCATTAACTTATATATGCCATTTAAGAAAATGGTTATGGTAAAGCAAAAGTTTTAATAAGCTTTGTTTAGTGAGGTGATGAAAGATTAGTAAGAAGACATATATTCTGTATTTTTATAATACACACTAATTTTCCCTTTATATAAACTCAGAAAACCAATCTTATGAACTGAAACTAGAAGCTGTACTTTTAAGAAAGTATTACCATTTGGTGCAGTGGGAGGTGACCAGATGCCATAATATTTTGGCAAATATTTTCGAAGCTCTAGAAGAACACCATCACTACAATCAGCAGCATAAACCTGAAACAAAGAGAAATATAAAACTGGTTAGTTTCTTATTGTTGCCCTGCACATTTCTCAAACACAATATCACTGACTCAATTATCTGGTGTGAGTTTTAATTGGAAATAAATCTGGAGTAAGCAAAAAATATCACTATGTCTCCAATGAAAAGCTATGTGTTATTTAAAACACATTTTCCTTGGTTCTCTAATACTACCCTTTCACTGTCCTTTGGATTATTTCACAACAGTGTAAGTTGCAGGTAACTGACATCAAATGCAAAATAATTCTTAACCCTAAATATGTAAATAAGTTTTGGTCAGAGGAGATTCAATGAACAATTAACTGCTCTCCATGCCCCAGGGAAGGAGGGAATTGAGTGCCTACTTAAAAAATCATCTCAACTCTGGAACCCAGAGTGTTTTATCCCTAAGCTATGTCCTTAGCCCTTTTTATTTATTTTTTTTATTTTTGAGACATAGTCTTGCTAAGTTTTAGAGGTTGGTTCCAAACTTGCAATCTTTGATCCTCCTGCCTCAGTCTTCCAGGTAGCAGTAGCTGCGATTACAGGCATGTACCACCATGCCCAGTTAATTTTTTTCTTATTAAAAAAAAAAAAAAATTGGGGCTGGGGATGTGGCTCAAGCGGTAGCGCGCTCGCCTGGCATGCACAGGGCACTAGGTTTGATCCTCAGCACCACATAAAAATAAAAAATAATGATGCTGTGTCCACTGAAAACTAAAATAAATAAATAAATATTTTAAAAATTCTCTCTCTCTCTTTAAAAAAATTTTATCCTTTAATACAATATAAGTCTTAATTCCATGATTTATAACCCTTAATAATTCTAGAAGATACTACAGATTTATGGATATCCTGGACCCAGGCTCTAGTTTTGTTCAGCTGAGAGCAGAGTACTATACTGAAACATGGGGAGTAAATAAAATTCTAAGTACTGAACAGTGAAATATCATGGCTTCTTTTTTTTCCCACACAATAATACACTCCAAGTATGCTAGCAACCAAATGATCAAGAAAGAAAGACACAGCAAACACAACATTAGGACTGAAAAGGGAGTCAGTCATACCAGATACAGCAGAGATATCTTTTTTAATATCATCAAGAACTTTACCAAGTGGGCAATTTTCTATAAAAAAATAGAATCAAACTACATTTTACTATCACAAATTAAAAAATCTGAAAACTGTTAAGCAACTGAATCACTAGTTAAAAAAAATGTATCCCATCCCAGGAAAGACGGAAGGGAAGACAGAAAAATGTGGACAGTAAAGGCTAGGGTGATAAAATGTGGACTCCACTGGATATTGAACTAGAGACCATTCTTGTTACTTTGTGGGAGGAAAAAAAAATAGGTTGCACTATGTCCATGTTTGGGGATGTTGTGGGAGACTGACCCTAAACAGGACAGACTAGTTTATCTGGTGAGAAAATTTCAAGGCAACAAAGCACTCAGGCTGCAACATGGGTATCACTGGTTCTGCTAGATTTGCATTGAGAACTGGGAACAAAAAGCAAAGGAGATAGATTGAAAAATTCACAGCTTGACAAGAAAAGAATGTTGAATCCATTAAGTCCCAAGTTTTTAATTCTACAAATATTTCAATGAAATTTACACAGGTACATCAAAATAGGACAGAAATCATAATCCAGAGCTTACATATGTGTATATGTACACAATGTTAACCAATAATGTAGTTATGCTACAATTATTATTATATAATAATTCTGAATTATTATATAACATACTATATTTAAGCTTTTATAGGTGTTGCACATCTAGGACGATGGGACAAAATAGGCTAAAAGTGCCTATTTTGTGGTCAAGGATGGTGAAGAAATTAGGGTCATTAAAAAAGAAGCCAAGGGCTGGGGATATGACTCAAGTGGTAGCACACTCGCTTGGCATGAGTGAGGCACGAGGTTCGATCCTCAGCACCACATAAAAATAAAATAAAGATATTGCGCCCACCTAAAACTAAAAAATAAATAAATATATATATTTTTTTTTAAAGGAGTCAAGCATTTCTTGCAGGTACAAGAAAATGTGTCCTGAGGACATCTCAGGAATCTGTGGGAACCCACCCATTACAGCTTCAAAGGTGTCTAAGTGAAAATTGTTTCAGACTTTCTAGGGCAGAATCTTTTTTAAAAGACAGTTCAAGGACATTCTGCCCACCCAAGACCACCTCATTTATCTTTCCACTGGAATTCATTTCAGCTGACAAGGAACTAAGAAGCCAGCTGTCATGGTTTGAATGTGAGGTGTGCCCCAAAAGCTGTGTGAGACAATGCAAAAAGACTCACAAGAGAAATGACTGGGTTGTGAGTCTTGACCCAATCAGTGATTTAATCCCCCTGAGAGGGATTAACTGCGTGGTAAGAGAAGTGGTAGGGTGTGGCTGGCGGACATGGGAACTGGTACCTGGCTTTAGGTATATATATATATGTTTGTGTATCTGGCAAGTGGAATCTCCCCCTCTCTACTGATCAACCCTGTTTGCCTCTGCCACATTCTTCTGCCATGATGTTCTGCCTTACCTGGAGCCCAAAGGAATGGAGCCAGCCTTCTAAAGACTAAGACCTCTGAAACTGTGAGCCCTCAAATAAATGTTTCCTCCTTTAAAATTGTTCTAGTCAGATCTTTTAGTCACATCAGTGAAAAAGCTGACTGAAACACCAGTGCAGCCATGGTTCAGTCAGGCACAGGAACTGCTTGTGCTAACAGCAGACTTTGGTGTTATCCATGCAATACTAGTTTTGTAGGCAAGGAAACACAAGTGTCATAACATCACAAAAGCTTTCACCAAGATTTTGAACGAAAGTCTAGGAGGCCAGGCAGTAAATAATAAAGTCAGAGTCCCTGCAAGCTGCCCTACAGGGTGACACATGGAACTGTGAGAGAGAGAAGCCAAAGCTGTAAAAGACCCTAGGAAGTTAGAGATGCCTAGAACATGGACTTCCTGCTGAAAAAAAGCTGCAGGCAGTAAAGAAAGCCAGTCCTTCTCTTGGAAATACAGACATGTATCTTGCAGCCAGCAAGGCCATAAGGGCGAGGCTGTTCAAGCCCTTGGAGGCCCACTTCCTGCCACAGTGTGCCCAGGATGCCATACATGGACCTTAAAATTTAATGTTTGCCCTGCTGGGTTACTGTCTTGCTTTGGTCTGATCCCTTCTTTCTACTTTCCTTTTCCTCTCTTTTGGAATGGGTGTATTTACCCTGTGCCAATGCGTCTTTCAAGTATGTAACTTCTTTTTTATTTGTATAGGGACTCACAGATAAGAATTTCCCTTGAATCTCAGAGGAGACTTAAAATTAGACTTCTTTCTTTTCTTTTTCTTTTTGGTACAAGGGATTGAGCCCAAGGGCACTTGTATATTGAGCCATATCTCAAGCCCTTTTTTATATTTTTGACACAGGGTCTTGCTAAGTTGCTTAAAGCCTTGCTAAACTGCTGAGGCTGGCTTTGAACTCAGGATCCTCCTGCTTCAGCCTCCTGAGCCCCTGGGATTACAGATGTGTGCCACTGCACCTGGCTAATAATTTTTATTCTAAATACTAATGTATAATTTTGTTTTTGGGGTTTTTTTTTTAAATGATGAGGCAATAAAGTAAAAAACATTTGAAAATCATTGGTTGTGGTGATTTTTTAATGTAATGTGTAGAACAGACCTTGGCTTATTCAGTACACGTTATTAGCTATTACTGTAGGGAAACTAAGAACTAAGTAATTAATTCACTAAAATTCACACAAATTTTAATTAGTGAAACTAACTGAAAGAAAAAGAGACTTATTGCTTTAACTCTGAGCCATCATACTATATACACTGCCTTGAAAATAAGTGAGGAAATTGGAGATACCTGATGCTATAGTTTGAATGCTAAATATCCTCCAAAGGCCCATGTTTTAAAGGCTTGGTCTCCAGCTTGGTATAGTCAGCAGCTGGTAGAACATTCAAGAGGTAGATTCTAGTATATAGGAGGCCCTTAGATAATTGGGGGCATACCCTTAAAGGTGATTGTGGGACCCCAATCTCTTTACATACTCTTTTTTTTTTTTTTTTCCTTTTGCTTCCTAGGCAAGGGTAAGAAGTTTTGTTCCACCCACAGGCTCCTCCCAATTATGTGTTGCCTCACCACAACCTAAGGAACAGAGCCAATCAATCATGTACTGATACCTCTAAAACTGTGAGCCATAATAAACCTTTTCTCTTTAAAATCTGATTATCTCAGGTATTTTGTTACAGTAATAGAATATGAATACACCTGATAACATATTAGGTTCTCTAAATGCCTGAATATAGAATACACATATAGAATGGTGACCACATTTTGCAAGTCAAAACCTATAATTTGGTACAACATAAAAAAAGTGTACTTAGGAAAACATAGCACAGAATATTATAAATCAGGTTTGTTCAAAAAATATACAACGTATGGCTGCCCAAATATATACACACCCACCTATTCTCACCACACAAAGGACTAATATTGCCCCCCAAAAAACCCAATACTCAAAATTTATGACCTAATATCCCAGACAGAATACAATTTCTAATTCAAGGGAATGTATCTCATGCATCCTCAAAATTACAATTCCATACAAATTTAATGATTATTAAGTCTGCTTGAATATTCCAGATTGACAAATAAATATAACTGTTTGATGGGGGGAAAGGAAATTCTTTGCTTTAAGGCAAGTCTAAACTGCAAACAAATTTACAAGTAAGCCTACATATTTATACAGGTAATATCTCATTAGGGCCAACTGCTAGAATGTCTATGGTATGATAGAATCCATTTTACCAGAAACTGAAAGGAAAGGAAAAGAAAATACATTATTGTCTCTCCACAAAAACAGCCCTGAAAAATATTGTGTACTAAGAAAGAAATGTGTGTATTAAGCAAGAATGTGGCAACATTATTCAAGCATGATATCTAGATTACTGTATGCAATCTAAATCTCACTGGGACTTAATAATTCAGTATTAATATATCCACGGGATTTTAAAACCTGGAGAAAAATCAGTCATGGTTCATAGTCATACAACTAAATGTTAGAACTAAAATTAGAACACAAATTTGTACAATCCCAAAGCCTATGCTCCAGTAATATGTCACTTTTCACAAAAAAGAAAGAAAACAAAACTTTCACTTCATAGGAATCCAACACATTATCATAGGCTGAACTGTGCTTCACCGAAAGTAATATACCCAATTGCAACCCCCAGTACCTAAGATATATGAACAGTCTTTAATAATGGGGGCTGGGAATGTGGCTCACTGGTAGGCTGCTTGCCTGGCAATGGTGAGGCCCTGGGTTTGATCCCCAATACTGGGAAAGAAAAACAAAGTAATTAAGATTCAATGAGGTTATTAAGGTAGTCCCTAAGTTGTTATAATTGTGTTCTAATAAGAACAGGAGTATAGGACATGAACACACACAGGGAAGACCAGGAGAAGACAGAGAAAACAGCCATCTACAAGATAAAAAGAGAGAGAACCTCAAAAGAAACCACACCCCGATTTGAGACTTCCAGCCTACGAAACAGTAAAATAGTAAATTTCTGCATAACTAATCTGTGTTACTTTTTCTGGCAGCCATAACAAATGAATATACCCACCTATTCCTTTCACTGTTATCTATTAAACTTCTGATATCTTCTTCTGCTAGATGGTCCCTAAACTTAAGAGAACTTTAATAGGGGGAGAAATACTAGAAACATATTTAATATAGGAACAACGGAAGCACTCCCAGTGAAAAATTACCATGCACTTATATAAAGCATTCAGTACAAGTGAAAAACAATAGAGCCAAGCAAAAAACAAAAAAAAAAAAAACCCGTAGACCCTCAGTAACTCAGCAAGACCCTGTCTCAAAAAATAAAATAAGGCTGAGGATGTAGCCTAGTGGTAAAGTGATCCTGGGTTCAACTCTCAATACCCTCACCTGCCCTCCCCCACCAAAAAAAAAGAAAGAAAGAAATCACACATATATGCACTTGGGTTCTCTATTCAAATATATTTACATACCATGGTGAGTTAAAATATAAAGTGTTCTGGAATGCACAAGAAGCATTCCACATTGTATTGCACAACTGACAGATAACTTTCCCCATAAAGAACATGCATCATTTCTGGGGGCAATAATGAAAAAGAAGCCCTCAGTGATTTAAGCAATGCACATTTAGTATAAAGAATTACTAAGCAGCAATGATAGAGCAATCAGAAGATGTAATGAGAATTCTCTAGGATACTCTCTGGCTTAAGAAGGATAAACTTGGAAAGTAGGCATATTTCCTAAGCAGACCTCATTTGGTTCCATGCAAACCAAAATGCAAGGAACCCAAAATAGACAAAACAATTTTCAAAAAGAACAAAGTTGAAAGACTCATATTTCTCAATTTCAAAACTTACTAAACAACTACAATAATAGAGTGTGAACAAATACCTAGACCTCATTGCAGAAGGCAAAACTGAAGCCCAATGGATAGCAGAGAAGTCCACTTGGTTAACCCACCCAGAGCTGGCCCACAACTGGACATGCATGAAGCAACCACACAGAGAGTAACCAAGAACACAGGCCCAAAGGAGAGTTGGTCTGCCATAATAGGTAGGAAACCTAGAATGCCTGATGTCCATCCCAGGATGGTGGCAGAAGACAAATATGAAGAGGAGATGACTATGAAGAAGTCAGGGCACAAATTCATACACAGAAGCCCTCTGTGCTGGAAGTGCCACAAAGTGATAACCAGGTTGGGTCAGGGCTCTGTGGTCACAGAGGATACATATTTCCAGATATTCAACTGTAGCAAGAAACCCTCACCTATACTGTTGACCAACAGAACACAGATAGAATCATCAACAGATATTGCAGCCTCTTTCTCCTGCAATCTCTCTCTGATGCCTTCTACTGGGGATATTTAACAATGATCTCACTGTAAAGGAGAAATGCTACAAGGATTAAGTTCATTATCACAGAGGCAGTAATGATGGGTGAATTTGGAACGGAGAGGCAATAAATTGGTAACTGGAAGAGGGGTTTTACAGTGTCCCATCATTTAAAGAATTTTCATGTAAGTCTAACATTATTTGTTATTTTGAGCTAAGTTCTTTAAAAGTAGATGAATTCTTTAAAAAATCATATACAGCACTATAAAAAAAATACAGACCAACATCCCTTATGAATGCAAAATATTCAATGAAATACTAGCAAACCAAAGCCACTGACATATAAAAAAATTACAATTTATTGCTAAAATGAAAAGTTGACAACATGTAAAATTCAATCAACACAATATGTAGTATTAAAAGAATAAAGGATAAAACCACAATAGTTCCCAAACTAATGTAAAAAGTTCATAAAAAAAAAAAGTTCAGCTGGCTTTTTTGGCAGAAACTGACAAGCTGATCCTAAGATACAAAAGGAAATGCAAGAAAACCAGAACACCCAAAACAATTTTCAAAAAGGATAAAGTTGAAAGACTCATATTTCCCAACTTCAAAACTTATTACACAGCTATAATAAGAGTGTAAATAGATATCTAGACTAATGGAACAGAACTGAGAACTTACAAACCAGTCTGTACCAATATCAATTTGCAGCCTCTTGCTTCCAAATTCACCCTTCATTACCGGCAGAATTCCTTTAAGCATTTCTCCTTTACATTTAGTCAACTGATTTTGACAAAGCTACTAAAATAATTCAGTGGGGAGAGTACAGCGATTTTAAGAAATAATAATGGATGACTAGATATTCATATGCAAAAGGATGTTGGATGCCTTCTTCCATTCATAAAAATGGATCCAAAGCCTAATTTTAAGAGTTAAAGCTATGAAGCTCTTAAAAGAAAACAAAAAACATAAATCTGCATGACCTTAGATTAGACAATGGCTTCTTAGATATGATATTAAAGGCATGAGCAACAAAAGGAAAAAAAATAGGTAAACTGGGCTTTACCTATTCAAAAGGTTGTTGGCTGTGGTGGTGCATGTCTGTAATCCCAGCCTACTCAGGAATCTAAGGCAGGAGGATCACAAGTTCAAGACCAGCCTAGGCAACATAGTGAGACCGTGTCTCAGAATAGAAAAGGGTTGGGGCTGGACGGTAGAGCACATGCTAAACTGCAAGGTCCTGGATTCAATTTCCAATATCACACACACACATACACATGAACACACACACACACACACACACACACACACACACACAAATCAAGTTTGTGCTTCAAAGGACACTAGAAAGCAAATGAAAAGACAACCTGCAGAAAGGCATCTTTTCCATACACTGGAAAAGATATATTAATAGCAAATAAGATGAAAAGATGCTAAACACCATTAGCCATTAAAGAAGTGCAAATCAAAACAAACTACATTGAGATTAACATTTTATAATAACTAGAATTCCACTCAAGACAAAATAAGAAATGTTGGTGAGGATGTAGAAAAATTAGAACATTCATATAGTGCTGAAGAAATATAAAATAGTCCAGCCACTTTAGGAAACAGTTTTACCAATTAACCTAATATTTCCATTTCTAAGTATATACCAAAAAGTAGAAATAAGTCTGAAATACTTGTACATGAATGTTCATAGCACTATTAGCAAAAGCCAAAAGGTGCAACAACCCAAACATCCATAACAGGTGAGTGGGTAAGCAAAATATAGTATATATGCATGATGGAATGTTACTCAGCTATAAAAATAAATGAAGCACTAATGTATGTTGTAATGTACATAAACCTTAAAAACATTACAGAAAATGAAAGCTAAGGGAAAAAAGACCACATTTTGTCTGACTCCATTTATATGAAATGGGAACAGGGAAGCCCATTAGAAAGCAGATTAATGGTTTAAGGTGCTGGGAGAAAGAATAATGCAGCATCGTGGTTTAATATGTAGAGTGTTTTCTTCTGGATGATGAGAATGTTTTGGAATTCGATACAGGTGATGATCACAGAATATTATGAATGTACTAAAAAAAATTCCTAGTCATAATGGTTAACCAGATGTTTTCCTTTCCCTTTTAGAGATTCACAATGCAGATTAGCATTTTAGAAATTCTATAGTAAAAACACTTATGTAAGTTAACATTTCTGACACTATGGAGACACTCAGTTAGTGTTTATCATATTGTGGGTCACTACCCAAGTTGAAATCAATTCAATGACTCAGAACCTTTGAGAAATGAAATAGAACAGAAAATACTACACTGCATCCAATACCATAAAAAATAAGCATTGTTTTTCATGAAGTTTTTGTTTCTATTATACATAGTGAACTAAAACAGGCTGTCAAACATATTTCTTACCGTGAGTCACCACTAAAAAACTCTGAAAAACACTTTTAATGCAACAAACAAATCTTACCTTACTTACCATATTATAAAATTCCAGCTCTCTCGGGCCCCTTGGAGGTGGCTGTAACTGTTTCAAAACTGTGCCATCTGGGTGTTGCAGTATACCTATGGAACAAAAATTAGAAAGTTTTTAGTGTTTTAATTATAGGGTACGTTAATTCACAGGATATATTTGTTCCAGAATAGGTAAACCACTGTCATAAGTTTAGCGATTCAATTTTACTTATACTAGAAAATTTAACACTCAACAAACATGTTTTAGTACTTTATATGCAAAGCACTAGAACACAAATTCTAAATCACTTAGTTTTATTGTCTCCAACTGCTACACCCTTACAGTTCCCTCATATTCTAATAAATGTAAGTGTAAATTTTTATGAAAATACCTCCGTAATAGACATTCCATTAAAAACAAGAGACAAGTTAAAAGCAGCAGCACAAATTGATCCTGTTTTTATAAACACAAAAATAAAAATGCCAACAGTGGCCACATATGGATTTCCTACTTGGTAATGTTTTAGAAGTCTCTCCTCTATTTTAAGAAAGCAACCTAAGAAATTTTCCTGACTCTCATGAACTGTACACAGCTGTATAGATAGTACAAGGATATGTAGCCAATGGGAAAAGTGAGGGCTGAGGAGCAGGCACCAAGTCTGGAGTAGGAAGGGGCACCTTTTTATAATCTGTTCATTCAAAGTGGGGAGTCTTTAACTCAACAAAAGCAGAGAGTTTCAGCTTAAGAAATACAGCAATCAATTCTGTTTAAGACCTACTATAGATTAGAAGGAAGGTAAATATTAATCCATTTGGATAAGATGAGTTTGTAAGCAGTTAAAAAGATCTGGGGACTTTAAGAGTACTAAAATATAACTAAAAATTATGAAAAAGGAATTCCATTCCTCAAGGTAAGAACAAGTAAATCCTTTGCTCCTCTGGTTATGACATTTTCTGTGGGACTAATGAAGAGTGATATACACATAAAAAGTCTTGATGAAAAGATTTCCAATTGTCAATCTCTTAGAAATAGAAGATGGAACTGTGCTTACCAGGGGCTGGGAGAAAAGGGAACAGGGGAATTATTCAATGGTTATAAAGTTTTTCTCGCCTAAAAGTAGTAGGTTAGGAGTTGCCACTGAGAAATCTGACCTCTATATAGTGTCCCCAAGGCTCCTACAGCCTTGAATGGCCCTTTCCCACCTGGCTTCCTCTGCTGATTGATTTTCTAGTGGGTTTTCTCCTGTCCTTGGCATCTTATGGCAAGAAACGAGGGCCTCAAGCCCCTATCCCCTATCTAGTTTGGCAGCAGAGTTAGATGTTGTACTGTGTTTTTTGTTGTTGTTTTATTTTCCTCCAAAATTAAAGAATGCAAAATTTAAAAAAAAAAAAAAAAAAGCAGTTTAATACAAAAAAAAAAAAAAATCAAGAAGTTCCAGAGATGTGTTGCACAATAATGTGAACTCAGTTAACACTTAGTTTATACTTACAAATAGTTAAGATGGTCAATTTTACATTGGGTCTTTTACCACCACCACCACCACAACAAAAGTTGTGTATTCAGGAGGATTATAACTATGTAAAAATAAACACAAGTTAAAATTTCCATCTGCACCAGGTGCAATGGCAAACACCTATAATCCCAGGGGCTCAGGAGGCTGAAAGCATTAGGATTGAGAGATCAAAGCTAGCCTAAGCAACTTAAGGAGGACCTAAGCAACTCAGCAAAACATTGTCTCTAAATAAAACATAAAAAGGGATGAGGATGTGGCTCAGTGGTTAAGCACCCCTGAGTTCAATCCCCAGTTTAAGGGGAAAAAAAAAAATTATCCATGAAAGGAACATTCTAGGTAAGTTTTCTTTCTTTCTTTTCTTTTTTTTAAATTTTTCTTCCAGAAATATGTCTTGCTTTTATTATTAGAAGTAAAACTATGACATGATAAATAAACATATGCTAACTGTATCTTCTGTTTAAAATCAACTATATAAATAAGGTATAGAAAAATACTTAAGGGAAATTTTTTTAAATGAGAGAAAGGGACTGAGAAAATATTTGACAAGACAAAGGCTGAAATATTCTAAAAACAAATGAAAAACAAAAACATGGAGCTAAGACAATCAGAATATTAAATAGATGGAAAAAACAAAATCCTAAACAGTTTAAATATAAAGACATGTGGGTTATAAGTAAAAATGAAGGAAAAGGGTAATATGCAAGTACAGGTCATAAGAAAGATGATACATCAATATTATTATACACCAAACTACACAATATCAGACACCATAAGCTTCAAGAAAAGGATTCTTTTATATAGGAAAACATTCTATAATAATAAGGTCAGCTCATTAAGAAGACACAAATATATACATACCTAATAACAGATTCGAAAGACATGTAGCAAAATCTGACAGAAGTGAAAGGATTAACAAAACCATAAATAAAACCCCAATGACTTTCTTAGTAATCAATAAAACATTAGTACATGATATATAAAACTTGAACACTATCAAACAACTTGACCAATTTGACACATTGAATGTTATATCCTGAGGGCTTAGTGGCATGCACCCCAGAGTCCCGCTACTCAAAAGACTGAGGAAGCAGGATCACTTGAGGCTAGGATTTGAGGCCAGCCTGACCAACTGTTTTAGTGACCAAGTTGTTCACTGTTGCAACCAAAAGACCTGACAAGAACAACGTTAGGGGAGGAAAAGTTTATCTGGCACTGAGGGTTTCAGAAGTCTCAGTCCACAGACACTCAGCTCCACTGCTCTGGGCCCAGGGATTGGCAGAACGTCATACTAGAAGAGTGTGGAGGAAAGCAGCTCAGGGCATGGCACCAGGAGGCAGAGAGGAGGGAGGGAAAGAGGGAGAGAGAGAGAGCATGCCCCTGCCTACTCCCCGCAGTCTCCAAGGACAAAATATATACCCCAAAGACCCACCTCTTCCAGCCACACTATACCTGCCTACAGATAGTTACCACCCAGTTAATCCCTATCAGGGGATTAATGCACTAATTAGATTAAGACTCATAACCCAATCATTTCACTTCTGAACTTGCTTACATTGTCTCACTCATGAGCTTTTGGGTTCATATCTAAACCACAACACCAACATGGCCAAATTCCATTTCAAAAAAAAGCTACATCCAACAGAATACACATTCTCAAGCACAAATGGAGCATTTACTAACTCAAGCTAGGCCATAAAAAAGTCTTAAAATCTAAAAGTTAGACTCATACAGAGAATATTCTCTAACCACAATGGACATAACAATACAATGTTTGGGGAAATACCAAATAATTGGAAAGTAAACAACATATGCCTATCTATGAATCAAAAAAGCAAATAGGAAATTAGAAAGTATTTTAAATTTAATAATGAAAACAACACATCAAAATTTGTGGAATCCAATTCAAATTCTTAAAAGAGAAATGTGCAGTTCTAAGTGCTTATATAAGAAAAAAAAAGTTCCAATTTAAGATGCTAGCAAAAGAATAATATATTAATTCCAAATACATAGAAAGATGTGAGCAAAAAAGTCATTGAAATAAGAAATGGACAATGGAGGGGGAAAAAGTGAAATCAAAAGGTGATTCTTTGAGATCAATAACATGAAAATATATATTCTCTTGGGGAATAAGTGAAAAAACACAATATCACTACAAATCCTACAAACATTAAAAGGACAGTAAGAGAATCAGAAATTTCATACTAGTAAAACCAACAATTCAGATAAAATGAACAAATTCCTTTAGACATAAATTATTGAAACTGACACAATAAGAAATCTGAATTGTCACGTCTACTAAAAATACTGAATTCATAATTTAAAACCTAAGACAACTTGCTGGGACCAATGGCTTTATGAGTAAATTTTATCAAACAACAATATCAATTTAAAAATTACCAAATTCATCAGAAAACAGAAAAAATATCAATTAGTTCCCAATTTTATGAAGCCAATATATATCATGATTTTTAAAAACCACAACAGATTTAATAAAATATATAGAACATGATCTCAAGTGAACATAAGCCAAAAAAATTTTAGCAAAACACTAGCATATTAAATCCACCAATATATACAGGATAATTTATCATGGACATGTGGACTCTGTTCCAGGAATGCAAGTTGGTTTATTTTCAAAAATTAAATATACAAATGTTTTGAGCAAAGTTCTCAATGAAGAAAGGAGATATAAACAGAAAATGGGAGAAAACAAAAACCCTGTAGTATTGAATTTAAGTTATAGTGTGGGGGTGGCTAGGCAGATAGGTCAGTGGTAAAGCACATGGGTGAGGGCCCAGGTTGGTTCACCAGCACCACAAAAACATAAACAAATAAACATTATAGGTATGGGGCTATACTTAATAGAATTTGCAAGGACCTGGATTCAATCTCTAGCACAAAAACACCCAAAACAAAAAACTCTGCTAAATTATAAGAATGAACTCAAAATTTCAAGAATATGAAATTAAATATTTCTTAATCCAATCTGGTGAAAGAATAAACAGAACTACATGCAAGGAGCAATGACCACACCTGGAATCCAGATCTTGATTTCTAAACACCATTCATTCCCATAGGAACCAGTTTCCTTGAAGAAAAATGGCTCATTTCAGGGTGTGAACATGAAAAGCACAAAATGAACATAGAAAACCTTTTATGCCAGAAAGTGACAAAAAATACAAGAAAAAAAGCAATATTAACATACAGTAGCAAGCCTGAAGAAGCTACCAGTGCCCAAATCTGGGAGAACATCAGCATTAAAATCAACAGTAACAATAATAGATAATATCTATTCATTTAAATTTGAAATGAATATTCCATCCTAATCGATAATGAAGAAAGATGGACATGGTGGCACACATCTATGATCCCAACTATTCAGGAGTCTGAGGCAGGAAGATGGAAAGTTATGCCAGCTTGGGCAACACAAAATGACCCTGCTCAAAATAAAATTAAAAAGGATGGGGCTGGGGATGTGGCTCAAGCGGTAGCGCACTCCCCTGGCATGCCTGCGGCCCAGGTTCGACCCTCAGCACCACATACAAACAAAGATGTTGTGTCTGCCGAAAACTAACAAAAATAAATAAATATTAAAAA